AACTGACCACACACGTGCAGTTCTTAGGTGAGGCTTCACTTCCCCACTGTCTGACAGGAATCTCTGTGCCCTGGCCATGGAAGGCACGGTTGTGCCTTCCCACAGAAGGTGCCTCCCCATCTGCTTATGGCAACGGGAATTGTGCGTTAGTTTGGGCTTCTTTGTGCAAAGCAGCCTCTGAGGGTGTAGATCTGTGCTGGCTCAGCCCTGCAGCCCTGAGCTGGCTGCTGCTGGGGTGTTGCCTTTGGTGCAGAGGGATAGGCAGGGCACAGTGCCCGTGGTGGGTGTCCCCCACAGGAGCTGAGCAGCAGGATGTGGCTCACAGAGCTGTGTGACTGTACTGCTGGCAGCTTGGATGAATCACAGGTTACCTTTCAGTTCCTAGGGCTGGGCTCATCACCCCTTCCAGCACTGCTGCCAAGGACACCCCCAGCCCCCCAGTGCCCACTGTGGGTGCCCAGCTGGCACAGGGGGAGCAGGCAGCCAGCCCTGAGTGTAAATCCTGGCTGCTGCTGTGCCCCTGTTGTGTCACGCTCTGTAAATGCTGTTTGATGCTCAGGGACTCCAAAAGCGCTTTGCACGTTCGCTGCTGTCCCTGCCCCATGGTGGGAGCCCCTCCTTCAGCCCAGTGCTCAGAGACAGCGAGAGCAGGGGGTGATCTCTGGCTCTGAGGGAGCTCTGCAGTTGTGGCTCTTTGAGAATTCTCCAATTCTAACTTTTTTTGGTGTAAATGAGGCTTTGCAGTTCAGAAAGGCTGCCTGGGTAGGGCTTGGTCCCTTTTTTCTCTCAAGGGAGCTGCCAGGTACCTCCTCTCTTCCCAAAACACCATTTCCCACTAGTAACTCAGGATTTAGCTTCCTCCTGTGAGCAATGGGATGTCCTGTGTCATTCCTGCCCCTCAGCACCGTTATCCTGCAGGCACAGGTTCTCTTGTTATTCCAGAATTCGATTTTCTTCTTGTGGCAGGAGTTTCATCTTCTGCTTTAAGATGAAATCACTGCCTAAACTGCTCTTTGGAAGAGATTCTCTGTGTTCCTCCTCTGCTGCCTCTTCCCTGTTTGCTCAGGGAGTGGGGGCTCCCTGGAGCAAGGGTTGGAGCCCAAGGAGTGAATGTCCTGTCCCTGCCATGGCTCGGTGTGTCCTCAGCGTCACAGCAGCCTCTGCCCCGCTCAGTGGGATGGGAACGCAGCCCTACAAGGAGTGGTTTGGAGGGCACAGCCTGCTCTGCAGGCACCCTGAGAGGATGTTTGTCAAACCAGCAGCCTCCTGGATCTCCTGCTACCCTGCCTTTGTGTGGTTTGAGCGAACATCTTATCGCACTCATCTCCACTCCGTGCAGAGCTCTCGCCTGCCTGATGAACACTGAGGCTGAAGCTTTTCTTGAAAATCGCAGCTTTCTCCCCGCACTGCCCCGTGTTCTACAAAGGCTTCCTCCAGCTGCTCCCTCCCTCGCTCTGGGTTTCTATCTTTGGCTCCTGCATGAGGTGGAGGGGAGGCAATAAAATCTTGCATACAAACAGCTGAAGCCAGGATTTTCCTCTGTAATCTAAGAAGAGCAGTTCCACGGGAGGAGCGGGCACCAGGCACGTGCTGCTGCCCTGCCTGGCATGGCTCCGTGCCCAGGGCACTGCTCCAAATCCAGCTCTCCCTCTGCAGTGAGGATGAATCTCCCAAAGCTCCTGTCCTGCCGCTTTGGAGGATGAACTGGAGGAGGCAGAAAGCTGAGGTGGAGCTCAGAGGAGTTTGACCTTTCTGGGGAGCTTGTGTCAGGATCTTACCTTGAAAAAATCTCTGGGTGGGGTCCCTTTGCTTTAAACCAAATTAAGTGATTTTCCTTTTGGTGCAGCATCAACCCAAGCTCCTGTTTCCTTCAGCCTCATCAGGCTTGTTCTGGTCCCCCCTGGGCCCAAAGCCCTCCAGCAGCATCAATCCAGGTGCTGAAGCACATCCTGGTACCAGCCCAGGCAAGGAATCTGTGTCCCTCCAGCTGCTGCCACTGTCCCCAGACCTGGGCAGAGCATTCAGAGCTGCTCCCGAGGCCCCAGGGCTTTGTTTTCCCTCTCTGTTTCCTCAGGATGCTCAGCCCCAGAACAATCCGGGCAGGAAAGGGCAAGAGTACCTGCGGGCTGTCCCCAGTGCTGGGGCAGCAGTGGCGCTTCCCTGCTGCAGGATTCCCTCTGGAAAGGTCTTTGTCAGGTGCTTTCCTCCCTCGGCGTCCCGAGGAGATGCTGCTGGGATTTGCCGTGGGAGGGGAGATCTCAGCTTGTTCTGTTCCTGCCTGGGACCTGACATTCCAGGTTTTGGAGCATTTGCTGCCTGGGGTGCTGGCTCCAGGAATTTGCTCTGCTGGGGGGGTTAGAGGCATCCTGCAAGGGGGGTCTGATCCTCTTCACACCTTCATTTTGGATCTTCGAGCTCTTCCCTCTGTTCTCATCTCCTGGGGGCTGTCCTGGGCTCTGCCTCTGCAGAAGGAGCTCAGAGAAGTCCTTTGAGTGTTGAAGATGGGACAGGCAAGGCAGCTCTGTGCCCTGTCCCAGCCGTGCCAGAGCTGCTGCTGCTGTCACCTTGGCTGCTGAGGGACCTCCTGCTCCTGGACATGAGTCCTGAGCAGCAGAAAAGCCCTGGAAGGGGAAGGTCCCAGGGCACTGAAGGCAAGTGGGGAAACCCCAGTGGGTCCCAGCTGAATGAAAAGTCCCTGCCAGGGAGCTGCAATTACCCAAGGGCTTCCCGTGACCTCAGGCTTCACAGCTCAGCAGGAAAAGACTTTGTTGCTAATTCTTTTTCATACTATTTAATATTTTTTTTTCTTTATTTCTTTATTTGATTTTTTTTTTTTCCTTCAAGCAGGACATGGGAAAATCTAAAACCAGTGGTCAGCAAATTCCCACTTCCCACGAAGGGGGAAATGTTTACTGGTTTGGTGTTAATTAACAGAAATATTTGTCTGTTCACCTTTGTGGCCCACAGAGATGAATGAAGCCTCTAACTAAGCAGTCTTGGATGGAAATTCCCCAAGGATCTGGCACCCATGCAAGGACAATTTCACAAATAATCTTAGGATACTTCCCAAGCTGAGCTTTGGTGTGCTGGGCCTTTTCTCACTCACTTTAATCAGTGTATTTTTTTTTTTTTAGAAAATTATTATAAATTAATTATTATAAATTGCCCTTCCAGGCACTCACACCTTCAGAGGGGATGAATTCAACCTTGCCCTGAGCCCTGGCGCTGGGAATTGTTTGGCATCTGTTGAAAATGGGGCACAACCTTGAGGCAGATGGGTTTCTCTGAGAACTTGGGGCTCTCAAAGCCAGAGGCTGTCCCTGCTGTGTGGAGAGGGCTGTGCCATCCCTGGGGTGGTGTCATGTCGAGGTGCTCAACACCCTCATAAAAAGCAAAGCATTTTCCAAACCCTTGACCTCAGCTCTTGTTTTTCTTGGTGTTCTCAAGATGTTCAACAGGGCTCCTGAAAGTCAGATTATGCTCTCCAGAGCTGTCCCCTGCCCTGTCATCGTGCTCAGCGTGGGTGGCAAGGAGGAGGCATCAGAAAAGGTTGCAGAGTTTCTGCTGCCTTTCCCACGGAAAATGCTTCCATAAGCACTGCCCTGGCAGAGGAGGTTCAGGTTCATGTGTGGTCTGTGGCACAGCAGGGAAAACCACCCAAAGAGTGCATTCTGTGGTTTGAAGGTTATGGCAAAGTCTAGGGTGTATTTTATTTTAAATTCCCTGCCTGTTGTGTGCTAGGACATGAGGGAAGGGATAGTGGGGTTGCTGTGTGGTGCTCCCCTTGAGGACTGAGCTGTGTTTTGAGCCGGGTGTTGCAGAGGTGTCCGTGAGTCACTCTGGGCTCTCACTGCCCTTCTCCTGCCACAAGCATGACCGAGGTGCTGGGCTGTGATTTCCCCGTTCCTCCACGTGGTACCAGAGTGTTCCTCGGTGTTCCTTGCACCAGGCACAGATAAAAGTTCTGCTGCAGAGCCAGTTCCAGGCTTTGGCAGTGGCACACGAGAGGAGGAGCCTGGGTCGAAGGGGTGAAGCACAGGCTGGGCAGCTCAGCAGTGGTGCTCACGGTGTGCTTGCTCTCACCTTGGGGGAGCTGCTGGCTTCTCTCCAGTGCAGGGGCAGGGCTGGAGGTGGCTCCCTGTGCTCCCAGGGAGCTTCAGCAGCCAGGCACAGCTTTCCTGAGCCCTTTTGAGGGAGCTGCCAAGGCTACGGGGCAGGGAGGGCCGTGGAGCCTCTGCCGAGGTCACAGTGGCTCTGGGGCAGGGCTGGGTGGGAAAAGCCTCTGCTGGGAACTGTCACAAAATGCTGGCCAAATGAGCAGAGAGTGGAGCATTTTAGGATATCTTTGGGAATTTTGTGGGTGTGTGGCATGGGTGCTGTCCAGGGTGGCCTTGCAGGTGGTTCTGCAGCATTGGCAGCTTTTATTTCTTCTTACTCAATTATTTTTGAGCATTTGTGTTGCTTCTAAACAAGAGGCAAAGAATATGCGGGATGGACCCATCTCTGTGCCTTGGAGAGGGGGACACCAGCCCCAGGGTCCCTCTGGGCTGCAGGGGAGGAGGGAATGTCCACCAGGTCACCTGTGCTTGCTGACGGTCAGGAGCATGGGAGCTGTTCAGGAACATGGGAGCAGTGCCCCTGGGAAGTTGCTGTTCCTGGCATCCCAGGTGGATAGATATAGGTTGGGTGGGATAAAACCTTCCTCCCCAGCAGTCTCTGCCAGCCAAGGTTCAGGATGCACCCTGGGCCCTGGAGGAGAGGTTGAGTGTGATGGCTGCAGCCACCATTTCCCACCATTTCCCAGTGCCCTCATGTCCCCTCGGAGTTTTCCACCATTGCCACAAAGGCACATGGAGCTTTCCTTCCTGTTTGTGTGGCAGCGAGGGGATGGTTCTGCAGCCTTCCGTGGCCACTTGGGGTGGGCTTGTGACCATTGCCAGTGACCCCTGGAGCCATCAAGGGCTTTATTAACTCTCCTCCTTCTTTCCCCTTTGATGCAGGAGATGAATTAAAATGCAGCACACCACGTGCACAGAGGACAGGATCTACCACGCTCTGGAAAGGTGTCTCCACGGCCTTAGCAGGGACGCTGTGTCCAGCAGATGGGCTGGTAGGTGACCAACATGGACTTCTCTGTGTGATCCACCTGGGCCCACATCTCACCCAGCACCCTCTCTGGGCTGTCGGTGCTGCTGGAGGCCTTTTCCCTTCCAGTGGTCAGAGTCAGAGGTAGCATCCAAACTGCTCAGTCCTCCTGGACGTTTTGCTGGAATAGGAAGGTGTTCCAGGACCCTGAACAGGTCACGTCAGGTCTGACCCGTGTAAGGACTCAGCAGGGCAGCCGTGCATGTTGCCCGCTGTCCCTGAGGAAGCTGGGGAGAGGAGAAGGCTTTGTTGAGCGCCAGGAAAGGCTCCTTTGTTCGATCAGCCAGCTCTTCGTGATGCTTGCGGCCCCCGGGGCAGGGCTGTGATCTCTGCTGCCCTGTCACACACAGCACAGAGGTGTTGTTATCAGTTTAACCCTGGCTCAGGTACTGTGGAGGCCACAAAAAGTGGAGCCTTGCTCAGGGGGCTGTGAAGGGATTGGGGCTGATGTGGTGAGGGCAGAGCAGCAGCGAGCAGAAATAATTTCTGAATGTCATTCTGACCTTTCTGCCTCATAGCTGTGTCTGTGAGCTGTGATTAAATCACTGCAAAACCCTCTTGTGGATGAAAGAATCTGGGGGCTCTCAGATTCTGATTCCTTTTGGTCTGTGCAGTTCTCTCAACCCTTTCTACTTTTCTTTTTCCCTACAAGATCAACAAAGAGATGCAGACAGGATCCTACCTGCTGCCAAATCCCAGAGGACTCCCTTTGCCATCCCAATCCCAGCCACTGCAGCGATGTCACTTCCATGCTGTAGCATCATCTGGGGGATTGGTTGGGGCAGTTCTGCCCCAGATTCCCGTGTCCTTTTCTTTTCCCCTGCTCTGGGAAGCAGGCCCTGAAGTGTGACCCACATTCCTGGTTCCTGGAAGTGCGACCTCATGCTTGGCACGAAGACAGCTCGTGGCCAGAGGAGCCCCTGTGGCCAAGCAGGTCATTGTGTGCCCAGAACTCACCTCTCCTGCAATTACCATCAATCAGTTCCCGTGTCACTCACAGCCCCTCGGCGCTGCTCTTTGTGTTGGTGAAGCTTTTACACAACGACTCCATCACTTCTGCAGCTCATTAGCAAAGATTGAGGTGCTCAGGGCTGGGGTCTGTGCTGGGGACAGCTGTGCCAAGTCCCTGTCAGTCCCATCCCGGTGATTTCCCCTGGCTCCCAGGCCCCTTCCTGTGGCTCTCATGGGCTTTGGCAGAAGGACCTAACAGTCCTGGGAGAGTTTTGGGCGTTTTGCACCTCAAAAATCTCATCCCAAGGATTTATGCTCTGCCAGGAATCTGCAGCGTGCCCTGGGTGGGTGTTGCTGTGCCCCAGCCTCGGTGCTGCTGCTGGGGACCCCCAGGACCCCCAGTGCCCCCCCCGAGGGCCTGCAGCCCCCATCCCACCCCGTGCAGGAGTGAGAAGCGTTTGGTCACTGTGATGGCAGGAAAGATTCCAGGAAAGCAGAGCCCAGAGCTGTCCCCTCCTGCCTTTCTGGGGATGTTGTCACACCCTGCCTCAAGTTACAAACAAGAGTTTCATTATCGCTGTGGTGTCCAGGACAGTCGGGCCAGGAGTGACCGCGGCTCCGGGAGTGACAGTCGGGCCAGGAGTGACCGCGGCTCCGGGAGTGACCGCGGCTCCGGGAGTGACCGCGGCTCAGGGAGTGACCACGGCTCCGGAGTGACCGCGGCTCTGTGTCTCCACAGCCGGGCTGTGCCTGAACTGCTGGAGCCTGCAGGAGCTGGTGAGCCGGGACGCCAGCAACTACCTCATCCTGGTGGAGAAGATCCTGGGCAAGACCAAAGAGGTGAGTGGGGGCTGCCAGTGGGAGCTGCAGGCTCCGAGGTATTGGCAGATCCGTGGCTTGCTCAGCATGGGCTTTGGCAAAGCTGGGTGGGGGTTTGGGGTCATGAGATCGTGCCGGGGGTTGGGTGGGGCTTTGGGGTTGGTTTTCCCACAGAGATGAGGGAATCTCCTGGGTGTGGTGGGAGCTGGGGGCTGCAGTCTCCAGGGATGTTTTGGGCAGTGCTCCTGGCCAGCAGCTCATCCCCGTGCCCTCGGACTGTTCCCACAGGTGCAGGAGAGGTGTGACTACGACCTGGTGATGCCCCTGGCTCTGCTCTTCTACTCGGCCGTGCTCTATGTAAGTCCTGAGGCTGCTGCAGCCACCCCAGCCCAGGGCAGGCACCAAAATCAGGGTGGCTTTGGCTGGAACAGCCCAGCCTGCTTTCATCAGTGCATCCAAAAAATAAAGATTCTGTATGAATCTAGAGGGATCAAGCATCCATTGCACAAGCCAAGAGACAAAAAAAATGAGCCTCAGGGGTCTTGAAGCTATTTTTTTAAGGCTGGGCTAATCAGAAAGAGAGATGGACAATAAAGTGGAATTTTTTTCTTTACCCTTTATAGCTGGGCAAAACACACAGGCAACGTGAATGAAAAGGAGCAGAGCCTTGAGCCTTCTCAGGAAATACTTTTTTTATTATTATTATTCCCAGCACAATGCATCGTTATCCCAAGGAAATCATTGCTGCCAGATCCTGCACAAGCACAGGCTGAATGGAATTCATCTGTACGGCTTGCGGGGCTTAAAAAGGAATTTATATTTAGGCTTGGGCATGTGAGCCCCACTTGGGGAGGTTGGGAAGGAGCTTCTTGGAGCTGTGCCCAGGGGGGGATCCTGTGGCCCTTCCTTGGGAGGAGATTGGATGGTGCAGGGGGAACCTCTGCTTTGCTTCTCTCACTTCCAGCCTAAACTCTGGAGTTCTCACACAGCCCTTGGGGTCTTTGCTCTTCTCGAACCTCCTGTCCCTGTTTCCACAGGCTCCTCACTTCCCACCTGGCTCAGACCTGCTCCTGAAAGCTGCCAGTGTTTACCACAGCTTCCTGACGTGGCCCGTGCCCTACTGTGACACCTTCCGGGAGCTGCTCACCTTCATCAGCAATGAGCTCAAGGCACCAGGTGAGTGCTCCTGCTCTGCCCTGGTGCCAAACCCAGCCCAGCCCCGGAGTTTGTCCCCCTGCTGCTCCTGTCTCATTTGTGCTTGGTTCCTGACTCCTGGGAGTGCAGTGTCCATCCCAAACCTCAGCTTTCCCAGGGGTCAGGACCCTGCCCTCCCTCCTCCCTAGGATGGTATTCCCGGGTGGTCCGGAATCCTCTGGAGGAGAAGGGTAAGATGGTGTTTTTGGTGGGTCCTTTGTGTGCAAGGAGCATCCCAGGGTCTCCCAGCTGTGGATCTGAGGCAATTAGCCACATGGGTAGCGATTTCCTGGCTGGCTTTCAGTCTGGAGGGTCTTTTCCCCAGCAGATCACGTGCTGGCTGCTCCCCCCAGCCCGCCCTTTGTGTGAGGTGCTCAGTGGGGGGACAACAGTGGGGCCGTTCATGGGCATCAGGGTGGCTGGAGCCTCCAAACCTGCTCTTCCATGGAGATTTCCATAGGGCTGAGGGATTCCCTGGATTGTTCTTTCCAGCCCAGACACTCCTTGTGACCCAGCTCTGGGCACATGCACGGACAGCACCAGTGCTCCTCTTAATTAAGGACTCCTTGTGGATGTCCTGTTGTTCCCAATGGAGCAGCTCTTCCAATTATTTCTCAAAGCCTTTTTTCCTAATCTCCCTGCCTTTTGGGGGCTTTTGAAGAGTTGTTATCACACAGAGCACATTGCAGCCCGTGTTTAATCCTGGGCAGGGTTTGGGAGGCCTGGGAGGGGGATGTGGCTGTGGCTGGGGGTGTTCCCCTCCCCCTCAAACAGGGAAGGTGCTTTGGGGAGCCCTGGGGGATGTGAAATGCAGGCTCTCTGTCAGGGCAGCAATTCCCATGAGATGGGAAGCTGGGGATGAGATGAAAGGTGTTTTCAAAGGAACAGAATGATGGAAAAGTCCCAACCTATGCAGCGGGAGCTCTGGACTGGCTGCTTTACCCCCAGCACAAATGGCCATGGCCACCAGGCAGGGTCTGGCTGTATCCAGCCTCACCTCAGAGCTGCAGGGCCACAGGGCCTTGAGGACACTCATGGGACTTCCCTCCTGGTCATTTCCTGCTGTGCCTCTGCTCAGGGCTGTGCCTCACACACCTCTGGAAAGCTCTGGTGCTGGGTGGGGGTTGCTGCATCCCATTCTTGCGCCATCCCCAGTGCCCCAGGCTGTGGGAGGGGGGCTTTGGCCCAAAAGCTTTCCCCTCCCACAGCAGAGTGGATTTTCTCCCAGAGGTGCTGTGTGGGAGGCGCTGGCTGCTGTCTTTGAGAATCCCTCTCCAGAAGCAGTGAGGCTGTCCCCTGCTGCTCAGCTGCCAGGACCTTGCAGGCTGCTCTAGGCTTGCTTCATGGCCCCCTGACCTGCTGGGGGGCTGAGGCCCAAGCTTTGTACTGAGATGAGGGTAAAGATTAACAGAGAATGAGCTGCTGTCAATATTTGCCAGCAGGGCAACAGCTTTGATCTGCACCCGGGGGCACCTCTGCAGGAGGGGTCAGTGCTGTGGATCAGGGTGGGCCCCCTGTGGGTGCTGAGCTAGGTGGGATGTGGCTCCCTGCATTGATAAGGGCTGGATCTTGCTGATGCCATAAAGCTTTCCCAAGCTGTGCCACTGTGCTGCTCTCTGGGGTGACAGGGCCCTGCTGTTGGCACCCAGCCCACATCCATGGGATGTCACCTAGTGTCCTGGGGACAGTCCCAGGGGGGCACCCAGGCTGTGGCTGCCCACACCACCTCCTCTCCTGCTGCATCAGTCTGGGCTCCATCCCTGCAGGAGAGGAGGTGGTGCTGACTTGCTGGCCCTGTGGGGCTGGGGGGCTAAAATGAGGGGGAGCAGCTGATAAATGTCATCCATGGAATTCCCATCCCACACCAGCAGTGGGGCAGCAGGGACTGGGGCTGGAGCAGGTCTCCTGTCCCATCCTGTGGGTTTCTCCTGACCCATCACTCTGGGTTTTCACCCTTCACATCCTGAGTTCCCTTGCTCCCAGCCTGGCCCCTCGCACGGTGGCTGTGCCTTGTCCCAGAGGACTCTTAATGCTGCCATTCCTGCTCCAGGCAGGGCTCTGCCAGCTCAGTGCTGCCCTGGGGGGCAGAGCCAGCTCAGTGCTGCTGGGCAGAGCAGCCTGCAGGTGTTCTGTGCCTCACGGCTCTGCTCTCCCCCAGGGATCACATTCCAGAGGCTGGTGAGGACGGAGCAGGGGCTGCCTGTGAAGAACTACCAGAGCTCCACAGTGTAAGTGTGGCCATGGGCACTGCTGGGGGCTCCCTGGGGCATCCCCATGGGTTGGCACTGCTGCAGCATCTCCCAGGGGCCAGGGAGGAGGGCTGGGAAGCTGGGCTGAGCTGTGGGAAGGGTGAGGAGAGCAGCTGGGGCATTTCCAGAGCCTTGGGAGGACAGGATCTTTGGGCTCCCCATGCCAGTGACCCTGGAGGGCTGTAGATACTGGGGAAGGCAAAGTCTCCTCCCCAAGGTGCTGCTGATCTCAGCAGATGTTGGGGAGCAGCTGGGAAATGCTGTGATCCATGATTTTGGGAGCCAGGAGCGAATCCATTCCAGCCCCAGTGCAGCAAGGAGTGAAAGCCCTGCAGCTCTGAGCAGTCAGACTTTGCACCTTATTCCATGGCTGAACCTTTCCCTGCCAATCCTCATCTGTAAACAGGGAAATGAGGCTGGGACACAGACCCGTGCCCTCCTCAGAGTCTCTCCTCAGAACTGCACCTTCAGGAGGGAAATGTTTTGAGTTCACTAATGTGCTGTGAGGCCACGTGGCTGCTGGGCTGAAGCTCTGGGTGGGTTCAGTGTCCTGGCCTGACTGGTGTCCACGTCCACAGGACGGTGCTGCTGCTGAATCGCTCGGAGGTCCAGGGTGAGTTCCTGTCCATCGCCGAGAAGCTGAGCTCCAGTGAGCCCCCCCAGCACTCCACACTGGTGCTGCTCCTCCAGCACCTCTACCAGGCCAACTTCGGCACCTGCTGTGACCTGGACAGGCTGCAGCACCTGCTCAAGGTGGGCTGGGGCAGCGCCCGCCCCGGGGTGCCATGGAAGCAGTGCACTTGGCTGCTGGATTTCCTACCCAACATGGGACTGGCTTGGCAAAGAGTTTTGGTGATGCTTCTTGGAGGAAAAATGCACATTTTTCCCTTCTCAGGTTAGACCTGAGGTCTGAAGTGTTTTGTGAAATGTGTGCAGAGGGCTCACTCCCCTTTTACCCCGTGGTTCCTTTCCCATCCCAAAGTGGAGAGAGGAAGGGCCCTCAGATCTGAAAATCAGCAAGTGTTTGTTTGACCAGACAAACACTTGGGGAGAGGCAAAAAAATAATGAAGGAACCACATGGGGTGTTTTCAAAGTAGTTTTTATTTTCCTTGGAAAAGTTTGGGGAGGACTTGAGGGTGGTGGGGGCAGTGGAGGGGAGACAGTCACCCTGTTAGTGATGCTGCCCATGTGTTACCTCAGTGGAGGGACCCCCTGAACGTCTTCTCTGGCTCTGCTCCGCAGTCCAAGCCCCTGGAGGAGCTCTTGGAGCTCTATGCCAGTGCTGCCGATGCGCAGGAGGCGGCGGCCGCCAGCAGCGACCCTGCGCTGGCCCGGGAGCGGCTCCAGGCCATGCTGCGTGACATTGCCGGGGCTGCCTCCCTTCCTGCCATTGCAGGTGAGCATCCCCCATCCCTCTCTTCCCTGGGGTTTTCTGCCAGCCCAGCCCCTGCAGCCGCAGCAGCAGGGAGCGGTTTTGCGGAGTCTCAGCCGCGTGCAAGGACTGCGCTAAAAAAGCACCAACCCAGGTCCTGTTTAACAACCACACCGTGAGCCACAGATGGTTTCATTTAACAGCCACAACATGAGTTGTCCAGCCTCCAAACAATTTAAGGGTGAGATGAAACATTGTCAGAAACCCATGGTAGCTGTGACACCTGGCGGCTGTGCAGGTGTGAAGTGTCCCCTTGTCCCAGTTGCACAGGACTGCCCGGAGCTAAGGACTGCAGCATCAAGCCTGGGCATGCAGGGGGTGGGTGGCACCTCCCAGGCCGGGAGAGCTGGCAGGAGTGGCACAGAGGGACTCTGCAAACCAGCTGCTGTCCCTCCTCTCTCCCCAGGCGAGGCCCAGCCCCGCAAGCTGCAGCCCATCCCTGTCCCCCCTGCTCGCTGCTACACCTACAGCTGGGACCAGGACACCTTTGGTGAGTCGGGGCCTTTGCTGAGCTCTCAGCCAGGCCCAACAGCTTTGGACAAGTAAAAGGATCCCCTTGTGCTGAGCTGGTGCCTCCAGCTTCCCCATTCCTGGAAGGACCTCCTGTGTTCTTGGGAAGGCTCCGTGTTCCTTCCCTGCTGGCCCCAGCGAGCGGGAGCAGAGCTCTGGCCCAGGCTTTGTGCTGAAGGCCAGCCCTGACAGGGAGCCAGGGTGGGTCACAATGGGGTTTGATCAGCCAAAGGCTTGGCTTTGCTCCTGCCCTCTGGTTAAACCTGGAGCAGACGTGAGGATGTGGTGAAAGCTGGGGCGGAAGGAATCAAAAGCCCAGCTGGAGTTTGCCTTTTGAGAACCCAGCCAGAACTTCGAGCAGAGAAACACAATTTCCTTGGCATTGCAATGGAGGCTTTTGTGGAAATTCAAAAACATTGAGGAGGAGGTTTCCAGCTCCTTGCTTGACACCAGGGTGGAGGAGAGCCTTGGCCATGAGTGGCAGTGGTGTCTGGGGTCACCATGTTTGCAGTGGCTCTGTTGGAGCCTGTGGCAGACACCTGCTCCCTCTGCTTGCTTTCAGACATCCTCAATGATGTCCTCAGCAAGGAGTGCAGCATTGCTGAGCCCCTGGCCTCAGAGAATGAGGAGGAGGATGAGGATGAGGAGGATGTGGAGACTGACGGTGGCTCCCCCGAGCAGGACTCGCTGCTGTCCCCGCTCTGTGCCATCTCCAGTGACTCCGTGTACTCCGTGCTGTCCGAGGAGAGCTCCAAGCCGTCACAGGTGTCCCTCTTCGCCTCCTCCAGGGAGTCCATCTCGGAGCTGACGGTGGTCTCCAGGAAGTCCCTGAAGTCGTTCGTGTCCAGCCTGAAGGACTGCATGGACAGTGGCTACGCCGAGGACAGCGACGAGAGCTCTCTGGACACGGTGGCCAGGACGGACAGGCCGCCCCCCAGGCAGCGGCAGTCGCTGACCAACAGGCTCTACAAGCTGTTCAAGAACAAGAGCCAGCAGCTGGTGCAGCGCCGGGAGCCGTGCCCGGGGCCGTGCTCGCTGTCGCTGCGGCGCGCCGAGAGCCTGTGCGCGTCCCCGGCCAGGCCGCGCGTCCCTGCGCGCTCCCGCCGCGCGCTCTCGCTGCCGCAGCACGGCCCGGGCTGCTGCGGGCCCGCCGCGCTCGCCCCCCGGCCCCTTGGGCTCCCCCGCCGCCCCTTCCTCAGCTGCGATGAGGAGGCCAAGGCGGGCACGCTGCGCGTGGTGGTGTTCGGCTCGGACCGCATCTCGGGCAAGGTGGCCCGCGCCTACCGCGACCTCAGGTGAGCCGGGCTGGGGGCGGCCACCGGTGCCTCGCCCTGCCCGGACGCCCTGCTCAGCCACCTCTCTGCCTCCCCAGGCTCAAGGAGAGCTCCTGCCCCTCACTGACACGGTACTTCAGGCTGCTGTTTTTCTACATCCCCGTGAAGAGGAGCTGTGCGGCTCCATCCACCCCGCAGATGCATCATCACCCCTCGCTGGCCCTGGGGGACCCCCTGCCCCGGGCGCTGGTGGGTGTCCCCTCCCCGCGGTGCCACCAGGGCTCTGCTTGGCCTGGGGCTGCTGTCCTTGGCCGAGGGGACCCTCGAGGTGACCACGGTGTCCGGTTTCAGGACCCCTCCCTGGCTGGGATGGAGGGCAGCACCAACGACATCTCGCACTACATCGGCCTGCTGGACCCTTGGTATGAGCGCAACGTCCTGGGGCTGATGAACCTGCCCATGGACGTCCTGTGCCAGGTGCGTGTGTGCCATGGGCAGGGCGGGCCGTGCCGTGCCCCTTCCTCGGGGAACTGAGCAGCTGTTGGGAGAACCTTCTGCCATGCCACGTGGGTGCAGGATGGAGATGGGGCTCCTGGTGGTCAGTGGGAGGTTCCCATCCCGTGGGGTGGGCAGCTGTGGCTGGAGGTACCACCTACCCCATCACATTTCTGACTCATTCTGCCACCCCAGTGTGCCAAGCCTGAGGCTGAGCCCCAGGAGGACTCCCAGGAGCAGCTGCCCATCTTGGCAGACATGATCCTCTACTACTGCCGCTTCGCCACACGCCCCATGCTGCTGCAGCTCTACCAGACCGAGGTGGGCAAGGGCTCAGCCCAGCCTGGTGAGGGAAAGGAGGGGTGGCTCTGCCTGTGGGGTACAGGGGTGTGGCACAAGTTCTGCTGTGGCAGAGCTCAGTCCACTTCATCCCTGGGGTATCTGTGGTGCCCTGCCTGGTGCTCCTGGCTCAGGGACTGAGAGTAGCTCCTGCCTGGACCATGAAGTCCCATGAGCAGTTTTCCACCCCAGCACTGTTCCCCATGCACAAAGCCGTGCCTGACAGTGCTGCCAGGTTTTCCACACCGCTGGAATCTCTCCAGAGCTCTGCTTTCCAAACCAAGCCCCTCCATGAAGCGAGTTTTCCACACCCCATTGTGTGCCTGGGGAGGATTGAATTTGGGGCTGTGGCTGGGGACCACCTGCTGCAGGGCTTGGTGAACAGAGCTCACAGGATTTGTGCTTCCAAAGCAATTCCCAGACCCTGCTATTGGCTCATTGTGGGTTTTTTCCCAGTGGTCTGCGGAGTTTTAGGTGAAAAAGAGAGGTTTGGGTTGTTTTGGGGATCTGTCCAAACAGTCTGAAGTCCAGCTAAAGGCAGGTGCTACCCCAAGCAGCTGCTGAAAGGTGCTTTGAAAATGTGGAAGGATTTTCCCAAACAGACCCATTTCCTAAGGACTGAGAGGGGTGAAGGCTGCCTGGCCTGGCCTGTCTGGTCCCCTGACCCCCACCTGTCCCCTCTTGTCCCCCTGGCAGCTCACCTTTATTGGGGGGGAGAAGAGGACCGAGGTCTTCATCCACTCGCTGGAGCTGGGGCACTCGGCAGCCACGAGGGCCATCAAGGCCTCAGGTCTGTAGCTGCTTCTGCACCCCCACCTGCCCTGGGGGTCTGGGGGCTGTGAGGGATGGGAAGGAGGGGCTGGGGGAGCCTGGGCTGCAGGAGGTGTCTGAGCCAGGCAGAGCGAGGATCCAGACAGCTCTTCGCTGGTTTGGGGGAGAAACATTCCAGTTTTGTATTCTCTCCAGGAGGGAAACCATGGCAATGTTTGATTGTTTGTGCTGCTCTTAGCTCTGGAATGCATTTACAATAAAACACCTCCAAGCCCATTTCCTTCCTCTCATCAGCACCTGCCAAATGCAGCTCTTTATCTTTCCTTTTTACAGCTTTCTCTTTGTGCTTTGTTCAAAAGTGTCATTGATAAAATCCCTCTTTTCATCTCCTTATTCTACTGGGCAAAGTCAGGTTTGTGTGCATGCTTGGAGCCTTCTGCGTGTAATTTTTTGCACTTTCATGCTGTGAATTTATGACATTAGCGATATTAAGAGAGCAGAAGCAGCGGCAGGAACATCTGGCTGCAGTTCCTCCGGGTACCCAGGACGGGCTGCTGTGGTGAAGCGCAGCTCGCACAGACACCCCATGGCCGGTCCCCAGTACTGCACCTGATCCCGTTCGTGCCTTTAACCGATGGCTTTGCTGTGAGCTCCACGTGTCCTTCGACACAGAGCCCATAAAATCCCCCCTGTGCCGTGTGCCCACCTGCTCCGCCCAGGGCAGGCTCTTCCCTCCGTGAAAGCGCCAGTGCTGAATCCGGTGTTTTCCTCTTGGCTTGTCTGGCACCTCTTCACAGCTGCAAAAAACTATCCAGGGGAGAAAGCACAGTTAGAAAGTGTCAAGCCCAGTGTTTCAGGGCTAATTTAATGTGGGCACAAGTCTGCCTGAGCAAACAGGAGCTGGCTGTGGCTTTTATTGCTCCGTGTTTTCCCTCTGCACTGGCTCAGCCAGAGCCACTTTCAGTTCTCCTGAGTGGTTTTGTAATTCCTCTCTGGATTCTTTGCTTTCTGCAGCTTTTAAGCCACTTTTTCTCTTTTTTTGTGCTCAGCAAGCCCTTTTCCCCTTCTGCAGGTACGGATGTGCTGCTGTATCAGCAGCCAGGGAAGGCTGGGAATAAAAAGCCCCTGTGTGATATTTGCTCCTTGTTTCCTGCAGGTCCAGGCAGCAAAAGGCTGGGAATAGATGGAGACAGGGAAGCAATCCCACTGACACTACAGATTGCATACAGCAAGGTCTGTGCTGGCACTGCTGGGGCACCTCCAGTGCTGGGGACAGCTCTGGGATGCTCATGGCAAGGAACTGAGGGACTGGAGTGTGTCCAGGAAAAGGGAAGGGTCTGGAGCCCCAGGAGGGGCTGAGGGAGCTGGAAAAGGGCTCAGCCTGGAGCAAAGGAGGCTCAGGGGGCCCTTGTGGCTCTGCACAAGTCCCTGGCAGGAGGGGACAGCCGGGGGGGTCGGGCTCTGCTGCCAGGGAACAGGGACAGGAGGAGAGGGAACGGCCTCAGGCTGGGCCAGAGGAAGTTTAGATTGGACATTAGAGAATATTTCTTCATAGAAGAGATTTTCCAGCCCTGGCACAGCTGCCAGGGCAGTGGTGGAGTCACCATCCCTGGGAATGCTTAAAAGATGTAGGGTTCTTTCTTAAGGACTTGGCAGGGTTAGATTTAGGGTTGGACTTGACCTCAAAGGTCTTTTCCAAGCTGAATGGTTGTGTGTTTCTCTCCCCTGGGCTCTGGCTGGTCCCTGCAGACAGCTGCCAGTGGCAGGAGTCACTGGAATGATGTGGAGAAGGTCTGCACATCCGTCAACCTCAGCAAGGCCTGCAGGAAGCACGAGGAGCTCGGTGGGTGCAGGGTCCTGGGAGGCACTGGGGCAGCGAGGGAGCGCTGTGGGTCTCCTGGCTGGAGCAAATGAGGGAGGTGAGAACACAGGAGACACGTGGGAGTCTCCTGATGTTCCCTCAGCTGTGCTGTAGTCCTTGGGTGCCAATCCTCAGCACCACATCAGGGACAAAGGACATGTCCCACTGTCCCAAAACTTCCAGCTGGAAAACCATCCACTAGGGATGGGGCTGGGGTGGCTTGAACACCAGGACGGTCACTGGAGAGTGATGCTTTCCAGAACAGCCCTTATTTAGCAAGGAGGACCAACAGGTGAAATACTGAAATGGAGCAGGACCAAGGTGCTGGTCCTGCATACACAGCAGCCCTGCCTCAGCATGGCCTTCCTGCAGCCCAGACACAGCTCCCTGCCACCTGCCTCAGCAACCTTTTTTCTAATCAAGTTTCCAATTAATCAAGCTTTGAGCCTTTGAAAAGCTCCAAGGCTCTTGGTCCATGTGTATATTTGGCTTGTTCTTGTTTAAGAGCTGCTGGTTTGGCCATCAGACATATCTGGTTCTGAGGAGGCTGAGGGGGTTTAGGTCCCTTTTCCTGGTGTGGCCGGTGCCTGGCAGGTGTTTGTCAGCAGGATAATCAGGGGAATCCTCTTGTACCAAACATGAGACATCTCCACAAGCTCTGACAAGCTCCACACTGTCCCTCCCCATCTGTGGAGCCATGCAGCCAATCCTGGGAGAAAAACGTCAGAGTGGGTTTCTCACTCCCTTCTAAATGTTGAGTTGGATGTTCCTGCTCTGGTTCAGGGCTTGCATCAGGGGTGCCCTCAGCTCCTATCGGGGGAGAAACCTCTCTGTGAATCTCTGTCCTTCCAAGAGGAATCTGATCCCCTTGGCTCCGGTGGTTTTCCCATTCAGCAGTTTGACCACAGGATGTCCCTGTAATTCCAGGCACGAGGAGGCATCTCCAGCTGGGCTCAGGAGAGTCAGCCTTTCCTCCCTCACGGTGATGGGCAATGGGTTTTCTCCTGTTTGCGGCCCAAGGCTGCAAATGTTCTCTCCTGCTGTTTGGAAAGCAGCTGGAATTACAGAGGACATTCAGCAGGAGGGGAGGAAAGCTGGGATTGCACTGCATTCCCCCAGCAGTGGGATCCTGCTGCAGCTTCAGCTCTGGGATGCTTTGAGAGGTGCAGGGCCCACCTGGGTTCCCAGCAGAGCCCCAGGTCACGGCAGTTTCCTTCTCTTGCAGCCTCGAAGACAGAATGTCTCAACTTAACCATGACCGAGGTGGTCAAGAGGCAGAACTCCAAATCCAAGAAAAGTTTCAATCAGGTAACCCCAGTTCTGGAGCTCTTACATCTGGGAGATGGGGTTGGCCTGGCCCAGCTGGGAGGGGAGCAGGGGTGGAGAGAGCAGCTCCTGGGGAGATCCGCCTGCTGCTGCCCCTGGCCCCCTGCCCAGCCCAGGGAATGTGCTGAGGCAGCAGCTCCCTCACTGCAGCCTTTCCTCTCAGCAGATCAGCATGTCCCAGATCAAAGTGGACAAGGTCCAGATCATTGGGGTCCAGTCCTCCTTCGCTGTGTGCCTGGACCAGGATGAGCAGAAGATCCTGCAGAGTGTGACCAGGTGGGAACTGCAGCCAGAGCTCCTGGGATGGGGCATCCTCACCTGTCCCTGAGCTGTGGGTGGGAATGGGGTCCTGGCCCCCTGGGCCCCAAGCTCTGAGCTCAGCTTGGATGGACGCTCCTGCTCAGATCCCAGCAGGAGTTCACCTTCAGGAAGTTCCACAGTCTAAAGGGTGGTGCCCTGACAACCTTTAACCCCAGACTCCTCTTCCAGCAGGAGCAGTCATGAGCCAGAGGTTATGGGAGATAAAGGAGGTGTTGGGAGAGCTCAGGGTGTGTGAGGAGACCCTTCACCTTCTAAACCTTCTTTGGATGCCTCCTTTGGCATCCCTACTGCAGAGGGAACTTGTGAGCCTCGTGGGAGAGTCTGGGCTAAAACAGGAAGTGTTCATGGGGCTGTTCACCCATCAGTGCTGTCCCCAGGACACCAGCCTGGCTCCCCAGGTGACAGGGCTTCCATGAGCACAAGAAGTCAATCCATGGTTTTGACCCATTAGTTTTAGATGTACAAACATTGTAATTCCACCCTCAGATTGAGCAGAACTCTGCAAAGTGAAGTTGCCTCCAGCAGAAAAATATATGGGATCTTTTTTTCTTAAATAACCCCAAAGAGAAGCATTTAACTCATTCATTGTGAAACTCAGGGGGCTGGTGGAGTTCATGAAATACTAAGGGAGCTCCTTCCCTTTTCTCCAAACTTGGGGGATGCAGAGGTTCTTATTTTCCCTACTAAATTTCTACAAATGCCCTGGATCTGAGATGCTGCTTGAGGTCCCAGCCTGAGCCAGCTGAAAGTCCTGAACTCTCAGTGCTCAGACTCCAGTCCTGTTAAGGCTGATTCCCACTGGATTTCCAGCCCCATCCCTGTTCCTGCTGGGTTTGCAGCCCCAATCCCATTCCAGCTGGGTTTGCAGCCTCATTCCCATTCCTATTCCCATTCCAGCTAGGTTTACAGCCCCATTCCCATTCCAGCTGGGTTTGCAGCCCTGTTCCCATTCCCATTCCAGCTGGGTTTGCAGCCCCATTCCCATTCCCACTGGATTTGCACCCCCATTCCCATTCCAGCTGGGTTTGCAGCCCTGTTCCCATTCCCATTCCAGCTGGGTTTGCAGCCCCATTCCCATTCCCACTGGATTTGCACCCCCATTCCCATTCCAGCTGGGTTTGCAGCCCTGTTCCCATTCCCATTCCAGCTGGGTTTGCAGCCCTGTTCCTGCTGCCCCTGAGGGTTCTCAGCCCACTCAGAGGTTGTTTCCGTGTTTCCCTGCAGGTGTGAGATCTCCGTGTGCTACAAGCCCAGGGACAGCGACCCCCTGGCACCCAGAGGGTCCCCAGTGCCCTCCCAGGACCCCTCTGAGTTCCACTCCCTGCTGTGTTTGCCCATTGCCACCTTCAGTGGGGCACTGCCATAGAGGGGCCGTGTCCCTCCAGACCATCCCGCACCAATCCAGTGAGGGGAAGGAAAAGGATGCCCAGCCCTGCTTGGCCAAGAGCTGCTGCAGCTGAAGAGTTGTTGTGGTGTCGGGGTGGTGCCTGCTCCTGCTCCAGGCTCAGCCCCTCCTCGGGAAGTGGGATCGTCGTGCTCTGGTGTCACTGGGGACTCCTCAGCAAGGGGGGGAAGGTGGTTCCTGGATATCTCCCTGTGGATCAGCAGATGTCAACACCGGGGTGGGAGGGCAGGGCAAGGACAGGGATATTCCCTGGCAGAAAATGGTGCAGGTGGGATATGGGGGGGATATTTGGGAAAAGGAATGTCCTTGGCTCAGTGGTGTCAGGTGTCCGTCAGTGCATGGGAATTACAGCTCCCATTGTATTGGTGAAATACCAGCCCCTGTCCTGGTGGTATTTCACCTGTGAGGTCGAGGATGCTCAGTACAGTTTTTTGGGATGGGGGACAGGTTTCCCAAGGTTTCCTCCCTTCTGGAGGCTGTGTGTCCTGCAGGGAAACAGAGCAGGGATCCTGCAGCATGGGCTGCCTGTGTCCAGGGAATTGAGTGCAATAGGGCATCCCAGGGCAAGGACAGCTGGTGGTGGATCCATGTATTTCCTGTACATCCAGGAGAGGAATTCCCAGTTCCTGCAGGACTCCAGCACTGACCTGTACTCTGAGTCCAGGAGCATCCTGCTCCCAGCACTGTGTGCCAGAGCCAGCCCAGGGCTGAGCCCTCTGTAGCTGCTGGAAATCCATCAGGAGCAGTGCTGGATCTCCAGCAGGGAGGGAAGTACTGGGGGAAGCACCAGCATTGCCTCAGGTACCTGCGGGGTCACCTTTACTGGAGAAGGACCCAGCACCAAACCCAGCGAGTAACACCTGCAAGTGACAGCAGGATTTGAGATCCTCCTCCCCACAAACACTCCAACCTCTTCCCCCTTTCTGCAAGGCTGTGGATACAGAAAGGTGCAATATTTGAGGATATTTAGGAATAGTCTGACTCTGTGAACAAAAACATAAGGCTGTTTCTGGGTGGTTTTTGGGGATTGTATCACTGCTAGCAGCACAAGAGCTCATTGTGTGCTGCAGACTCAAAGGAGCTTGATCCCAAGGTTCTGTTTCCTGGACATGTCTGGAAGGGACCCCTGGCACTGCTGGGGGCTGCAGGGCTCAGCCACAGTAGGGTCAGTTCAGGGGGTCCCTTGATCCTCCAGGAAACAGGACCTGGTGAGCTCTTAGCACTGTCCCCAAGGGCTGGCGGCACATCAGCAGTGTCATTTCAGGTTCAATCTGCCAGGGAAAGCGCCAGAGCTCCTGGGGGTTCAGGTGTCTCATCAGAGTGGGGGTCAGGTTTGTCTGCTGCATCCCCCCATCCCTGCTGGAAGTGTTTGAGATCCCTCCTGTGGCCCTGACTCTGCTGCTGGCCACTGTCCCTTTGCTGGGGACAGCTTGGCCTGGGCCAGGGATGAGCACCATGGTCCCCAAGGTGCTCCCTGGTGTCCTCAGCAGCTCTGGGTGCAGCTCCCATCAGGGCCAGAGATGAGGAAATCTTAGATGTGCCAGCGCTCCTGAGGCCTCTGCACTTCCCCCTCCTGCTTGAATCCACCACCCCAGATTGGAGCTGCCCTGGGGATCAAGGAAAGCTCCTCGGGGGGGTGAAGCATCCCTTGGGCACAAACAGGAGCCCTGGCCCCAGCCCAGAGCAGAGCCAGGGTGGTCTCCCAGGAAAGATCCCCCTTCTCTGGCCTCACAGTGGCTCCAGGAGCACCCAGCTTATCCAAGTGCACGGAGCAGTGTCTGTCCTTGCAGGGACCCCCAGCACAGCCAGGCTCTGCTGTGCTGTCCCTGCTCCAGGATACCTGGACCCTCCTCTCCAGAACTATTTTCAGCCAAATAGGCTCCAAGGATCCAAATCTAATTTTAGTGGCTCTTTTCATGCACTTGGAAAAGGTTTTCTCACTGACTTTTCCTTCCCAAAACAGGTTTGTGGTGTGTTCTCTCCAGTGGGGCTGGAGTTTGGCAGGTGGTTGTTTTTGTTCAGGGTTTTAAAACAGCACCTTACCCTGTCAAACACTCCTCTCAGGGATCTTGGTATCTGTGGCTAAATCCATGCCAGGACAGAAATCCCGCTGGGTTCAGTTGGCCCTGCAGCAATCCTGGAGAAGAGAATTTCCACCCCATAGAGAAAACCAAGCATAAACTCCAGGCACTCAGAATTGTGGAGAAGGTTTTGACCTCTGATGCTTTCTGGAAATGAAAGAATTCCAGAGTTATTTGGGGTCATCTTTGTACATTTGTGAAGCCTCAACAAATCTGTGTAAAGTATTGTGCAGAGAACTTTTAAAGTAATTGTAAAATATTAAAAGTTGGTTTATTTCCAGTACAGGAGCAGTAATTGGGTCAAGAAATTCCTGGGTGGGAGGAGGAGGCTTCAAATCTTTCCAGAGGAGCTGACCTGGGAGCAGGAAAAGGCTCCGAGAGTCATTGGCACAAGACAGTTCCAGCACCCACCACAGCACCGGGATTTTTCCTTCAGCTGCTCCAAAGGTTCGGGCTCACAGGTGGGGTAACCTGGGATTAACCTGCAGGTACAACCTGCACAGTCTTTAGCAAATAAGTTATATTTTTCCACCCTCACAGGAGATGCTGCCCAGACTTGAACACTCCATGGTTTATTATTATCATCTTTTTATCTCCTTATTATAATTTTTTTAAAGACAAAAAAAAAAAAAAAAAAAAA